ATGAGCTTTGAGCTTGGATGAAAGGCATCAGTTTAAGACATTTCAGAGACCATCCACAATCTCCACTGACAGTTGCATTTGACCTGCAGTTAGCCTCCTTCTGACTTGCTGCAAGCAGGTTGCATATAATGTAAACCCCATCTGACATGAACAAAAACCTGTTGACACAAGGCCTTATATTTTTTCTAATCTGTGCATAGACATACATACTCACATCAAAGGCAAGTAAGCACAACTATGTAGCAAACACATATTTGCAGCCTTACCTTCCAAAGGATTTTTAATTCTGTGTAGTGATTCTTGTGATCCAGGTACCCTTGCTAAACAACACAGGCAACCAGATCCTCAACCACCACTGCAGCAGCAGCACAGCTTAGTCAAGTACTCATAAAACACATCCACAGCTTGCTAAATTACACTGAAGGAATTGCAGTACGCTGATTGGGCCATGTGTCTGCTTTGTCCTCCTGTTAGCACATATGCACTGCTGTAGTGGCTAGTTGGCTGTCGGCGTTGCCCCTCCCTCTCCCACTTTGAATGGTGCCCTACAGGGAATTACAGTAGATTAATAAAATTCAAACCTTATATTCATTACACTTAAAATATAGAATAGAACAAAAAGTTTGCTTTCCACCCCAAGGAGCTGCAATTTTTCCAGGCTTAGGCCTAAGCTACATGGGTGATTTTTAGCTGTTGAGTTGTGTTACTAAAATTGCCTGCAGTCTATTGCTAATGGTACTTTTCAGTCACTCACTGATGCAGGAAATGGCTTTGTATTTTGTAAGCTATATGGAAATAGCATGTTGTAGTGATTAATCCCAAATTATCTTACAGCACTCCAACTGTATGCCATTAATTCTTCCTACATGCTATTGTGTAACTTACACTATAGGGAACCATTTGTTCTATAGTGAGCAACCAGCATGATTCAGCTAAAAAAAAACTGCCAGTGCAACTTAGACTATGTCTTTACTGGTGATTAAATCTCTTTGCTACTGAGATTTAATCAGTTGTTGGCAGTCAACTCATATGCATCTTCCTAAAATCAATGTGCTGCTAATGAGATGACTGTCAACGAGTAGTTAGATCTCTCAGTAGCCAAGTGGTCTCCAATCACCAGTGTAGTACTACCCTTATGGGTGGCTACAAACAGACCAATTCTGCCACTGATTTGCGATCCATTGTGCCCATTTAGGTCCATCACAGGGAGCGATAATGCATGATTCCAACTGTCAAGAGAGCTTTTTGACATAACCATTCCAATCTCTACTCCAAAGCTGAGCCTTCCGCTGCCACCACTCGAGAGGAAGTATTGGAGCCGTCCATGCTAACACACAGCAGGAATGAAAGACCTCCACACATTCATGTTGCTATAGTCCAAGTTTATTCCATAGCTCAAACACAATCTACACAATAGCAGTCCCCACCTTAGGACACTCCCCCTCTAAGCCTTTTCGCCCAATAGGGCTTAATTGTAGAGATCGCTACGATTAAGAACTCTTGAGTAAAACATGCTAAAGGAGGTTGTTCTAGGGTTGAGGGCTGCTATTGTGTGGACTGTGGTTGGCTCTATGGAATAAACTATAGTAACTACATTGATGTGCGGGGATCTCTCATTCCTGCCATTCAAGCACACTATCCCATGTTCTCTGCAATCCATATGGTCCTTGCAGAAAGAGCTATAGTGAAAACAAAACTGGTCTCATTTCTTTACATGTATAATATGATTATGTTACATAGCCATTTTAGATGCCCATTCTGTATATCTTAACATTTAAGCTGGCCATGGCTGGCTTGAACTTCATCTTATTCCTCTAATTCCTGCTGAATCCTCTACAATTCAAGCCATGGGTGGCCCTGCAAGCACTGCCCTGGCTCCACAAAAGTCAATTTAAAAATCAGTTGAGCTGGGTGAACAATAGTTCATCTGTCAGATTCAGTCACTGTTAATTCATTTACTGATTCACTGATGGCTGCTTGAATACAATCTGGCAGTGTAGATTCCTCCAAACATGGTGTTAGCGTGGATGGGGGAATTGATGGATTTTCTCTCATTTAGTCCATGGGATAAATGAAAGAAATTCCAGCTGCATATGGCTACCTTTAATTTTGCTGCTTCAGAGCTCATCACCCAAATACACAAATAGCTACATAGGAAAATTCCAAGTTTTTTTTTTTTATTTTCCAACCATAATTTATTTACAAATACACTTTATAACTTTTATATACATTGCACATTTACATGGTAAAAAAGTACAAAACTATATATTTAAATGAATTTATATTTAACTTGCCATGTTTTTTTTTCTGCAAATATAAAATTGAATCAGAAACAAAGAGGTGTACTAGCGAGAAAAGCAAGAAACTTGGACCGATAAAGCTCTGATATGGTTAAAAAACAAAATAAAAGAAAGAAAAGTGGTATTTTCGCAATGGTTTGTGAAAGAATAAAAAAAAAATATGGGTAAAGGGGATAGTTCATCTTTCCATTAGCAGTCACAAAATCCTTGATGGTGTAATTCACTGAATACACAGATGCTGATATCAATACAGAGCTACAAAAATGGATATTAAAGGGCACCTGTCTCAGTTTGCAGGAGCTACTTTGTCAGCTTGCCCAACATTTCAGTATGCATCCATTGATTCCCTATACATAATGGACAACAGTAACATCACAATACCCAGGGAATAGATAGACTAACTTTTGGAAAAGCCAACAAATAAGATCCATGTGTCTAGACCACTTATTCTCAACCAGTGGTACTTGTAAATCAGAGGTACTTCCAATGGGTTTAGAGGATACTTGTGTTTCCTATAGTAAATTTATCAACACAGTTTAGAGATTTAGCATGTAATACATTATATAAAATGATTATCATCAGTAAATTGTTTAAAAACAAATGCCTTTGACCAAAGATAAAGGGGTACATATTTTAATAAACTTGAGAATCACCGGTCTAGACCACAGGCAGCTCAGTCCATCAAAATCAGAGGATTCAGTTTTGGGTAAATGCTGATTAGCTAAAATGACCACTATGCCATCAGCTCCCATTAAAAGGGAACTCTTCCTTTTGGGGTATACTATTATTCGACTTTATGCAGCATTATTCAGATCAAGACAGACTCCTACTGCAGCAATGGGAGCTTAAGAGTCAGGAACCTCTGCACAGATATCTCATCCTTGGAGTCTCCCGGAGATAAAAAAGTCAATGGCTGATTCATCACTCAAGCATCTGCCCATAACAGAAACCTCAGTTTTGTGTGGACTAACCCTTTAAAAGACAACCTTCCCCTATTAACCATTACTGATATATGTTTATTGCAGCCTCTTTTGGTCAGTCAAGGTCCTTGTAAACAAAACCCAAAGAATGTACGTACAAGAGTAAAGATAAAAACCCAATAAATAAAACATAGCAGAACTGACATGCAAATGTGATCAAGAAAGAAAACTGAGAAAACAGCAAATCAGCACAGTTCTCCAAGACAGGGAGCACTGAACTGCACTGTCCTTTCATCCCCTGAGACAGGGGCATGATGACAGGTAAGGCAGTGCAGTTGCCTCTGTCCTGCAGAGCTTTGCCATGTCCTGCTATGTAACTTCAGTTTATAGAGCAGACAGCCATGGTCAGTTGTAAGGAATGGACTTACAAGAGAGAAAAATAATAAGCTGAACTTTACAAGCAAAAGGCATCTCACAATAAATAACACTGCTCTCCCTTTGACGAATATATTTTCTTCAAAACAAGGTGTACAGTCAAACAGACATTTTATGTATAAATTATAAAACATGACACTGTATAAATAAATGTCTACCCGACTCAACTATATGTATACTTTTTTTCTTCTTCAAAATAAATAAGCATACACCTATGTACAGTATGGACATTAAAGGGTCAATCCACCCAAAACTGATATTTCAATTTTGTGTAGAATACAGGGGAGAAAAATCACCCTTCCAGCTTATTGTACCTGTCCTGGACTCCACAGGTGAGATCTCTGCACTGTTAATGCCTGTTAGGGCCATTACGAAGGCTCTCCCTGTACCTCAGGTAGACTCTATAGCAGTGAATAAAAGATCTCATCAATGGAGTCCACAAGAGATATAAAAAGATATTAGGTAATCAAGCCCACCAGAAACCACCCATAACTGAAATATCAGTTTTGGGCACACAGCTCCTTTAATCCTTGCCCAGAAAGGCTGTTCCAACAGTTTTACCAGTGGACGGAAGATAGAGGGACGCTGTTGTAGTCTTGATCCTCTTCTTCATCCTCTTCCTCCAGTTCTTCATTAATGGCTATATAGGGGAATATAGGGGAGCTGTTGTTTAAATAAGGACAACAACAGCGCAGAAGCTCAGTGCATGATTTTTGTTTTTTTTTTGTTTTTTTTTTTTTTTTGTTTTGTTCTGAACAGCCAGAATACAGCGTTGCATTGTATGTGACTTGTATTGATAATGCCTCTTGGCATCTCTATAAAGTAATACTTGTTCATTTCTGTTTGTGTTTTTGTTTTAATTAATCTATGAAGTCTTAACTGCAGCAAGTTCTGAAGGACCTCAATGGATCGGGCTTTTATTGCAGGTTCCTGTAAATCAGACAAAAAGCGCTCTGGTGTTCTAGGTGTACTGCTTGTGTCTTCAAAGAGTTAGTAGTAGGGGTGCCCACTGCGTAAAGTGACGCATGGAGCGACTTTTTCTACCGAAGTTTGGAGTTAGGTCACTCAAAAGCGTTAATGAAGCAAATCAGCGAAGCACATAGAAGCAAAATTAGAAGAATAGAAGGAAAGATATTCTCAGGCAACCCCCTATAAATAATTACATTTTGTTTTTGTAGTTTTTGTTTTCCTGCATAAGAGGCAATCATAGTCTGGCAAGCCCCCTTCACAGCTAGAAATGGCGCAGGTTAAATAGCTAGCAATGGTGCTGGTGTCTAATTCTGTCTAGTCCTCATTAGGGAGGGGTTGCCTTTAGAAATCTTAATTTTTTTTGTTTGCAGCAAAGTCACTTACAGTTGCAAGATCCGCTGTGTTTGACTTCCAAAAGTATCCCCAAGGAGCAGGCTGCCTGTTTCATGGCGCACTCGCTTGGGTAGGTGGTGTTATCACTGGCACAAACCGCTTCATCAGACTTGCTGTTTGGACAGATATCGTCACACGTGGCGCAGCGTCCTCTCCCCACTCTACTGTCCCATAGACATTTCTTGCCCACGCTGCACTGGATGTCTTCACATGACTTGGCCTCTGCAAAGAGTAATGAAGCAGATGTTAGAACAATCTACCAGGATGAAGGCAATTGTAGACCCAAATGTACTGATGCATGGCTGCACTAGTGCCCCTTGCAGAACTGCATTCTTAAGTTCAGGTCATACTTGGGGCCCTATCTGCGTTTCTCTAAATGTATTGCTTTTCATTTTGCAGACATGAACATCCCCCATATTCAGTAAGGGATATTGTTTTCCAGCTACTTTACTGTGCTTTTGTCCCAAGGCACCAAGTCTCCAAAAATACCTCCCGCAGTAGTGCTGATCATTTTCATATCCTTATGACACACTGTAACATCATATATCTAATCTATTTTTAATTTGCAAAACAATTATTTATTGTAAATATAAATTTCATGTGTCAGTCTGATCTCAACTTGGCCAACCTGTGCAATGTTTTTATCTCTTTCTCTATATCAAAAATCCCCTTGCAAAGTATGACAGATTAAACATGCATTATTATGAGTTATCAATGATTTTGGTTGTCAATCTCTCTTCTTGAGTAATACATTTGCTGAAATAAAATGTTGTCACCCGCATCAAATCATATTCCAAAAAGTTAGTCCAGCCAAAAGTGATTGATTTGAGATTTTAGCAGATTTTGTTCAAATTTGCTGGGCTAAACCACCTTCTACAGCCTCCAATATCTCTAAAGGTTTCTGCTACTGGGATCTTTGCACTGAAGCTCCTGGCATACACTACTTTTTCCATTGGATTCTCAGTTGTGGGGAAACACAACAGAATAGATGAGAATACCGAGAACTCCAGGGTGTGCAGAACCGAGTCGGGATCTATGGCCAGTATAGGAAGTGAGTGACTCAGCCAACTTATAAATGACATAATACTTGTGGAATGACCCTTTGGAAATTTGGAGTTTGTTAAATAAACACTTGGGATATATTTATTAAACAGAAAAAGCATCACACAGGAACCCAAAGTAATTAGTCAGAAAGCAGCTTTCATTGGACTACCAATGTGTCCTTTGTTCTGTTCAATAAGCCCATATATATCTATCTATCAGCCACGAAGCTGCAGTGCTTGCATACTTGAAGAACATGTCCTATGTAGGGCGATATTATAGGGTAATCTGGAGGATGAGAATATTGTGTCTCTGCCTTAAACTGGGAATTAAGACAAACATAATTCAGAATTAGATGTGGCTACTCAGGTCAATACTCACTGATGCATTTTCCCTCATACGCCAACCCAATAGATCTGCCTAGCAGGCAGGTGGCCTTCCTCAAGTGACATGCACTGGCATAGGTTATGCCATCATTGCCACACAGGTACTGGTCAGCCGAGGTGGGTTCCGGGCAGTTGAGGTGACAAGTCACACAATATGCATTATTGGTTTGATCCACCACGCAGGTGGACGTCCCAGGACATAACACGTCTCTGCAGGTCTCTGAAACAAACACAGGGGGAGACAGTGATCAGTGAGAGCTCCACTGAAAGGCATCACTGCTAACACCAAAAAATTCACAGGATTACTGATCAGAGGGTCATTGCAGTGTATTTATATTAATATATACATAAACATTCCACTAGACATGTTTCTGGATGCCCACATGTTGTAGTATCATGGTAGATCTGAGACTTGCACGTACTTTTACATTTGCCTTGGTATTGCACATCCAATTCGGGCACTCCTTTACATTTGGCCTTGAGTAAGGCGCACTCGTCCTTGTAGGTCTTGCCATCCAGGCCACAGACAGGACCCTTCCAGGTGATGTTGGAGCAGTCTGGGGCGCACACACAGCGCGGCTTGTTCTTCTTGTTCATCTTGCACTTCTTTCCAGGACCACAGTCCACATTCTCACACGTCTCTGGGAATGGATGCACAATGTTAGCCAACAGTCCCTCCGGGCTTTCTCTACTCTCTAATGGCACAACATAAAACTCCTTCCAAACTCCACAAATACATGAGAATATGTGGATTGTGTTTCATATCTATATATTTATCTATCTACCTATGTAAAGGAATCCAATGCAAAGGTGAGGGAGACATAGGTGTAGTAAACATCAACTCTATACCTTCCTTTATCAGCTATGTGCTGTGTCCTGGAAACCTCATGGCAAACATTATATATGTATACATATATATAAAATACATATATTTATATACAAACATATCAATAAAGTGTCAAAGCAGTTTCTCTACTAACAAAGCTTACCACATGATTTTCAAATGAGGTAGCACAAGTTCCTCCAGAAAGCCAAATCAAAATTGAGTGCAGATGTCCCCTACAAATCCCCCAGTGAAAACTCTAGGTGGCCACATACTGCACACTGCAACCCCAGAACACATTTCTCAGGTATGGCTCTGTGTGTGTGTTTCTGATAGGTTCTATGTAAGTGCATATATGGGTGTGAGTGGGTAAAATAGAAAGGTCGGAGCATCTATACCCTAATGACTGTGGTTAGATCTGTGGGAACCAAATACTTCCCTTGCCCCAACCCAATATTGTACATAGACAATACCACTATGTAACGCTGGGACAACTACACATACATGCATGTGCACAAAAATGACTTTTAAATCATTCACAAGCATATAGGTGTCCAAATCCTAATATAATAAAAATGTTATGATACTATGCTATGATGAAAAGTTTTAGGCAAAAATAATAATAGAAATATACAATAATGCTAATAATAATTCAATTAAAAAGATTTTCAGAAATAGTACAAATAATAAGTCTAATAATGATACAAATAATTTATGCAAAAAAATATATATATATACATACACGCACACGCACACACACACAATAAGGCTAATATTAATAAAATAATAATATTCAAAATAAATAAACTAATAAATAAAATCATAAAATATACAATAATAATATTGCTAACAGCAATAATAAAAATATGTAAATAATAATAATATATAATAATAACAAAAATTATATTATACAAAAATATAAAATAATGACTATAATAATAATAATAATATGCAAAGTATAAGACTACTACTGAGTAATAAGGATGGGGGGGGGGGGTCCTACCTTTGCAGGGGATGCAGTGTGGCGCCCCTCCATTGAAGATCATCCATTTGAAGAGGGTACTGTTGGGTACATCTTCCTCTGTCCACGAGGTGCCCAGCCTCCCAGTCTTGCAGCACTCTTCCTTGGTCAGATCCGTCCTGTAGAGGACCTGGCAGCGGCCGTTCTTGGATTGCTGAAGCCAGCAGTTCCCAGCTGGAAGACACATATCACGGGCCATAGCGTCAATGAGCAGCAGCAGTAGACCCACCACGTGTGATCTTCTCCTTCACTACTCTGTTTACTCTGATTTGTAATGTTTCTTAACCCTCAGCAATAACACCAGCCGGGATTAACCCCTTGTGCCCACCAGCACCTAACCTCTTACATTCCTCTGCATCTCTCTTGCGTCAATCCCCAGCTCACTCTCCCTAGCAATGTCACTATGTTGCAATCTGAGTGGGCTTCAAAGTCTTTCCAGTCTTTCCAAACATCCTATTCTGCAGCATTCATTTTAGAAACAGAAATCACATTAAGAAAAAAGGTTAAAGCACCAAGAGGAGAATTTATTAAACCTCACCACACGTTACAATCCGACTGTACAATCTGTTAGATCTACCAAAAAGTATATATAGTGCAAGGACCTGCCTGATAGTATAGAGACTGATTGGATAGTTTAGGTCGGTCCTCCTATTACATAGATTTGGTAGCTCTAAGGCTAGGTTCATAATTATGTGTTTTTAGTGCGTTCACTGAAGCACAGAAACGCACAGCAATCCATTTAACATTATTTCCTATGGGTCCCGTTCACATCTGTGCAGTGTGTTCTTGGAGGAGGTGCAGGAACTTTTTTTTATACGCAGGACAGTGCGTTTTTGGCTCCGTAGACTTCAATGGAAACGCACTAAAAACGCATGCACGTGCATTTTTGGTAAGGTGTTGTGTTTAACAACCAGTCTCCTCCTCCTGCCAAACAAAATGCATGAAACAGCATAAAAAACGCATTGCAAATTTACCTGAAAAGCACGTGCACAGGTATGAACCTATCCTAAAGTTCATTCTACAGAGCTGGCATGGTCAGATGGAAACGTGTGGTGAGCCTAGGGCTGGAGCAACCAGAATGTGGAGCAGCTGTGCATGGCAACCAATCAGGTTCTATCTTTCATTTTCAAAGCATAACGGGACCAGCTGAAGCTAGAAGCTGATTGGTTACCATGCAAAGCTGCTCCAGTTTTTGTACACCCCCCCCACCACCACCACCATGAAAATAAAATAGAAGCTAAAGTAATAGACAATAACATACAAGAGGTTAAAGTATATGAAGATAAAGTAATAAAGAATAAAGTAGAAAGGTAGAAAGTAGAAGAAAATAAAGTATTAAAGAATAAAGTAGAAATGTAGAAAGTAGAAGAGAATAAAGTAGAAAGGTAGAAAGTAGAAGATAATAAAGTATTAAAGAATAAAATAGAAAGGTAGAAAGTAAAAGAAAATAAATTAGAAGAGTATGAGGTAGAAGAGAATAAAGTAGAAAGGTATAAAGAAGGAAGGTATAACGCAGAAGAAAATGAAGTAAAAAGGTATAAAATAGAAAAGCATAAAATAGAAGAATGAAAACTATAAGAAAATCAAGTCGAGAATAACGTAGAAAAGTATAAAATAGAAGAGTATAAAGTAGGAGACAGTAAGGTATAAAATAAAAGAGTATAAAGTAGGAGAGAGTAAATTAGAAAGGTATAAAGTCCAACAGTGTAAAGTAGAAGAGAATGTGGTAAAAGGAAATAAAGTAGAAGATAAAGTACAATAAAAAAGGTAGAAGACAAAGGTAGAGTATAAAGTAGAATAAAATAAAGTAGAAAAGAAGCATATAAGGTGGAAGCAGAAGAAGTAGTAGAGATCCTGATGTTAGATAATGATCTCTAGGAAGGACTTCCATCGCCCCATTGATCAATCTAGCTACAATTTCCAGACTATGTAGCATGGGATAAAACGGAAACTTTTGCGATCTCCTAAGCCCAGGTCAGACGAGCGATAAGAAAACTTTCCAGTCCAGTTTCACACAGAAGTGCTGTCAGTGGCGTTCAGTCCCTGCAAGTTTTGTTTTTTTTTCTGTTTCTCTTTTTCTGCTCCTCCAAAGAAGTAACAAGTGAAATCCCTTCTCCTGGCTGCCATCCCACCCCAGAATCTAAAAGCAGAAAATCGCCCGGCCGATCTTACCGTGCACGATGTGATCTTCCATGTAATGACAGAGGCAGAGGGTGAGGAGGACAAGCAAGCCCGGGCGGATTCTCTGATTTAACATCCTGGTATTTGCTGGGAGAAGTCGGGGGAAGAGACACGCTCGCTGCTGCGGCGATCGCTCTATTGAATGAACGTCGGGCTATGCAGTCTCTCTTTAAATCTATAAGGGGGTCTTAGCTGTCTGCGGTGGGCGGTCTCCCGATGTGTGTGTGAGTGTTTGGGGGGGGTGGAGATCCTTCTTCTTCTTTTTTTTTTTTTTTTTTTTGCTGAGAAATTCAGAGTGAATCAGGTGACACGGTCTACCTTCCGCGCTGCCTCTACCAATGACCGGGAGGTCTTCCTCCAATCTGGCTGCGAGCTGAGTGCCAGGAGGAGCGCCCAGCGGAGCGGCGGTGGACGGACAGCGCAAGGAGGAACCCCTAAAAAAATTCCCGGAGGAAAAAAAAAACGGGGGATCTCACACCACTTCAACGTTCTGGGACTTTTCTCAGACTACAAACAAAAGTTTCCGATCAAGACTGGACAACGTAGGCGGTCTCCTTCCCAAAAAAAAAAAAAAAAGATTGCCCCCCTAGATAATGAACTTCTATAGGGCCACTTTATTAAGGCGCACACAGCCTGCCATTCTTTAACCCTCACCCCCCCCTTTCCGTAGTGTGGCCCCCCCCCCCCCCCCCCCCCCTTTCCGTAGTTGGCGGAGACTCATTTAGAACATTTTTTGGCAGCCCTCAATGAAACTGAGTAGGCGATATTTCCTTTTATACAGAACGATTACTTAACGGAAAATGGGGATTGCTGGAGTCAAAGGCTTGCCCCCTGTACAATGTCTATTCTTCTCCTTCTCCTGGCTCAGACAGTCAAGTATGCAGACAGATTAGCCGCACATTCGCAGGTCACTGGGATTTGTCGCTCTACACATCTCTCCCCCCCACCACCCCCTTGTCCCTTTTCTCTGCGCATAACTCAGTGATAACAGATTTCTTTCCACCAACTGCAGGAGATAGTACTAATCTGTTCATACAAAGCTCCCATTACAATGGAGGCAGAGATACAGGCGTGCTAATATTAGAAGACAGTTGCTTGGGTGCTGCTCAGCCCAGCGCTGCCCCCTTCTCCTCTGCTCATTAGACACCACCTGCAGGCACACATGAAAGCAGACTGGTAAATGACTGACCCCTCTACACCCACCCCTCCTCTCCTCTACACCCCCCTCTTCTCTACTCATCGCCCTCTTTTACTTCTGGGACACTTTGCTCACTTCTCAAAAAGCTGCATGCATCCCTCTCACTTTTCTTTCCTCCTCCTCCTCCTCCCCTCTGATAACTCTGTACAGGAGGAATAGGAGGTGGCCCAGCGCCCTCTGCAGGGTAAGCAGAGCACAGGGGTTAGATGCAAGCTCTAGTAATACAGTCATTCTCTGATTTGCTGCTTTACAGTCTGTAAATGGCTAGGTTCACCTCCCCAAAAAACCCCAAAACAAAACAAAAAGACAGAGCAGCAAATCAGTGAGATATATTAACTCCTGTCTTTTTGTTTTGGGTTTTTTTGGGAGGTGAACCTAGCCATTTACAGACCGTAAAGCAGCAAATCAGAGAGATATATTAACTCCTATGGTCTGTGAAAAGGCTAGGTTCACCTAAAAAAACAAAAATAAACAGGAGTTGATACATTTCTCTGATGATTTGTTGCTTTATGGTTTGTAAAAAGCTAGGTTCACCTCCAAAAAAAAAAAGTGTTTTTTTTGCAGGAATTAATACATTTCTCTGATTTGCTGCTTTATGGTCTGTAAAAGGCTAGGTTCACCTCCAAAAAAAAAAAAGTTAATACATATCTCTGATTTGCTGCTTTATGGTCTGTAAAAGGCTAGGTTCACCTCCAAAAAAAAAAAAAAAAGCAGACGGTAATACATATCTCTGATTTGCTGCTCTATGGTCTGTAAAAGGCTAGGTTCACCTCCAAAAAAAAAAACAGGAGTTGATACATATCTCTGATTTGCTGCTTTATGGTCTGTAAAAAGGCTAGGTTCACCTCCAAAAAAAAAAAAAAAAAAAGCAGACGTTAATACATATCTCTGATTTGCTGCTCTATGGTCTGTGAAAAGGCTAGGTTCACCTAAAAAAAAAACAAACAGGAGTTGATACATTTCTCTGATTTGCTGCTTTTATGGTCTGTAAAAAGCTAGGTTCACCTCCAAAAAAAAAAAAAAAAAGCAGACGTTAATACATATCTCTGATTTGCTGCTCTATGGTCTGTGAAAAGGCTAGGTTCACCTAAAAAAAACCAAACAGGAGTTGATACATTTCTCTGATTTGCTGCTTTATGGTTTGTAAAAAGCTAGGTTCACCTCCAAAAAAAAAAAGTGTTTTTGCAGGAATTAATACATATCTCTGATTTGCTGCTTTATGGTCTGTAAAAGGCTAGGTTCACCTCCAAAAAAAAAAAAAAAAAATCAGGAGTTAATACATATCGGGCAGCACAGTGGCTAAATGGTTAGCACTTCTGCCTGGCAGTACTAGGGTCGCTGGTTTGTATCCCAACCATGGCACCACCTGCCTGGAGTTTGCATGTTCTTCCTGTGACTGTGTGGGTTTCCTCTGGGTACTCCAGTTTCCTCCCACACTCCAAAGACATGCTGGTAGGTTAATTGGCTCCTGTCTAAATTGGCCCTAGTATGTGTATGTATGAATGTAAGTTAGGGACTTTAGATTGTACACCCCTTGAGGGTTAGGGACTGATGTGAATGTACAATATATATGTAAAGCTCTGAGTAAAGTGACGGCACTATATAAGTACCTGAAATAAATAATAAATAAATATCTCTGATTTGCTGCTTTATGGGCTGTAAAAGGCTAGGTTCACCTAAAAAAAAAAAAAAAAAAAAAAAATCACATGTTTTTCAGGAGTTAATACATTTCTCTGATGTGCTGCTTTATGGTCTGTAAAAGGCTAGGTTAACCAAAAAAACAATAAAAAAAATCAGGAGTTAATACATTTCTCTGATTTGCTGCGTTATGGTCTGTAAGAGGTTAGGTTCACCTAAAAAAAAGCACTTTGTTCAGGAGTTAATACATTTCTCTGATTTGCTTCTTTATGGTCTGTAAAAGGCTAGGTTCAGCTCCAAAAAAAAAGAGCACATGTTTTTGCAGAAGTCAATACATTTCTCTGATTTGCTGCTTTATGGTCTGTAAAAGGCTGGGTTCACTTCAAAAAAAAAAAAAAAACTGTCTTTGTAGGAGTTAATACATTTCTCTGATTTGCTTCTTTATGGTCTGTAAAAGGCTGGGTTCACTTCCAGAGAAAAAAAAACACATGTGTTTGCAGGAATTAATGCATTTCTCTGATTTGCTGTTTTGTGGTCTGTAAAAGGCTAGATTCACCTCCAAAAAAGAAAAAAATGCATTCATATTTTTTATTTACAGGAGCCTGCAAAGCATTGGATCCTCTGTGTCAGGCTCCTGTAAACTCTTCCTCCATCTTTCTACCTGTACCTCTATGGCCCCATTTGCTCCAGACAATTATCTGATTGTCCCATGTGGTTATCAGTGCATTCATAGTCTATTAATAAAAACAGGAAAAAAAGTGCACTATATATAATATTAAATAATAAAATTAGCTGCAACCATACTATGGGGAGATTGAGGCTCCATTCACAATGAGCTGAGCATTTTTCAGGCATTTTTTTTTAAGCATTTTTTGACCAGATTTGCTTGAGGTGATTGTAGCCGTATTAGTGCCCTTGCGACAGAAACAATTCAGTACTGTCCGTGATACTTTTTTTATTTGCACTAACATACAATTTTTAGGACAAGCTTTCGGGGAGTGTCCCCTTCTTCAAGGTCCAGGCAGTACTGTTAAAAAGTTTTAGCAGAATGTTAGAAGATATGTGGGGATTGAGAAAAAAAAGGTTAGCCTAGAGATAAGACACAGCAAAGCAAAAACTAGAAGGAATAAGAAAAATAATCAAAGATTTACAACCCATCATAACAGAGGATGGAACTCTGAAAGAAATATTCCAGAAACCCCCAATACTGGCCTTCAGACAACCCCCCAACCTCAGAAATAAACTAATCAGTAGGAAACTTCCTTCTGATTATGTCACAAATAATGGAAGCAAACCCTGCAATAAGAAACACTGCAAACTGTGCAACCAAATCAATCCATCAAAAAGTGTCAGACACTCAAAGGGGATCTTCAATATCTCCGGATCATACAGCTGCACCTCTAGTAATGTTGTGTACCTTATCCAGTGCAGAAAATGTAGCAAAGGATCTTATGTTGGCGAAACAGGACAGAAGTTGCAAACAAGGATGAATTTGCACAGACATACCATCAAGGAACATAAAGAAGATGACTTCTGCACACCTGTGGGACACCATTTCACACAACCAGGCCACACAATGGAAGACCTCAATATTTTAGTTCTTAAAGGAAATTTCAAATCCATTCAGGAAAGAAAAAGTTTTGAACTAAGAATGATAATTCTATTTGACACAAGAGATAACGGCCTTAATTTGGACATGAGATTCCTCAATCAATATCCAACATTTTTATGACTCCCTCTGTGAGTGTTGTTCCCCCCCCCCCCCACCAGTCTTTGCTTTTGCTTTGCTGTGTCTTATCTCTAGGCTAACCTTAGGCTTGTGTTTCTTTCTGCCTTTTTTTTTTCTCAATCCCCACATCTCTTCTAACACTTCTGCTAAAACTTTGTAACAGTACTGCTTGGACCTTGAAGAAGGGGACACTCCCCAAAAGCTTGTCCTCAAAATTGTATATTAGTGCAAATAAAAGAAGTATCATGGACAGTACTGAATTGTTTCTGTTGACCAGATTTGCAAATATTATAGGTGTTTTTTCAGGCATTTTTCATTGAGACCCCATTGACACTTGAGTGTTTTTCAGTTCAATGCTCAGAAATGCTCAACAAGTAAAATCCCATTATTTGCAATGGATCCTGTTCAGACTTGAGCATTAAGTCGCTTGTAGCAAAACACCTGTCGCTCGGAAAAGTACTTGCACTACTTTTCAGGCAGATCTGAGCGTTTTGTCCCCATAGACTTGAAT